AATCTATTATTCATTTTTCATCCATTCCTTTGGGACGTGAGAGGTAGGTTCACGGCAGATTTTTTTCAAAATACTCAGTAATAGCCTTGCTTAGAACTTTGCTGTAACAGAGGTAGAACAAGAAACCTTTCAAGGATCATTTTTATAGTAAAAGTTAGATGTATGTTTTGAAAAAAACTGAGGGACCAGTTTCCCTCCCCCTATACTGTATGCTACGATATATCAAATGTTTGGAACAAACAGTGTGTCAATATGAACTCTAAATAAAGAATAATCTCCATCATAAAGCAATTATAACATAAATAAAATCTTGTCCAGCGATTTAAATAGATTCTTTAAGCAAAACATTGGATCTGAAAATTACATTTAGTTACTTATCTCTCATTTATAAAATAACTTTTAAAATATCATAAATATAGCTGTCGTTTACCAGTAGAAGGCAGAAGCACAGGAATTTGTGGACAGGACCCCCCCTCCCCCCCCCCCCCCCGATATTAAACCCCGTAGCTTATTAGACATGTACATGGACGTGTATAATATGAATAAATTTCCAAAACCCCAAAATTATCGCTCCACAAAAAAAATACTCCAGTATACATCTCTCTTATAACATATAGGGGTTTTTTTTGGTGGAGCGATTATTTTGGGGTTTTGACGATTTATTCATATTGTTCACGTAGTAATGATTAATATTTATTTTCTCGACTATAGTTGTACATCAGTCCAACCGGAATTCGCGTTTGAGTGGAGAGCAAAAGTGGCGAGCTAGGATATATCGCTCGAGGTTCCTGGAGAAACTCTTGAGAATCAGTATTTACTTTATTTTGGCACCAAAAATGAAAGTAGTTTTAACTTTAAATTATCCGTGTTTGACACTGAAAACTATTCATGATTGCTTGATAAATAAATTTGATTTAAAAAAAAAAAAGAAATATTCTGATCCTTCTTTGAAATTTCGACAGTGAAACTTAAAAATCGTACGTTTTAAACAAAATTAAAGAGAGAATGTAAAAATGTTTTCCATTATGTACCAAATCATCGAACCTGTTCGATGACGTATTCATTTTGAATATGGATTTAACTTTAAAATAACCAAAAGATTTTGATAAGTATTTCTCGTTTATTAATTAACCTATTCACTTCACCAAAAAATATAAGCAATATTCTTTTTTTGTAATATGCACACTAGGCGGTACAAGATCGTTCTAGTATTAAAGCAATAACCTACTGCTATCCTCAAAGTTTTATTCTGAATTAAAATCGCCTGCTCAAATTTGCACATTTTTAGATAGATTATACAAAAAAGTAATTAATTATTAAAGACGATGAAGACAAATATAACTTCTTAAAATCATTTATTTTTGATTTGGCGATTGCGGCCACGACCTACATAATACAATATATATTTTATTAATATAACATAACTCTTTAATTATAAACCTTATCCTTATAAACCTTATATCCTTATCCTTATAAACTTTATATCCTTATCCATTTTTAGATAGATTATACAGAAAAGTAATTTATTTTGTTTTGCAATCTGGAGCAAAATTTAAAATTAGAATATTATAGCCCAAAATCTCACGATAAATATTGTGAGTTTAAGCGAAAAACAAAAAATACTTAGAGCATTTCAGACCTTTTTTGTGTTTGTGATTTTAGTGACACATGGACAAAAAGGACAATTATTCCCGATGATGTCTTTTAAAATAATACACAAAGTATTACAAGTCCTCTCTCAAAGTATCGTGCTGAAATAGTAAAACTGTAAACAAATACATGTATGTAGCTTTTAAAATTTCTCGTTAACGTTGCTATAATTATTAAATAAATATTAAAATGAAAAAACATTAAATTATGGACCCTTAATCTTTAACCTGTATGACGCCGACGATATACATGCTCTCATCGTAAAGGTGAGCTAAAATTTCCCTTTTTTTACTTTGCTAAGCCATTACGAGAACCACAATCTGACTGGTAGGAAGCAATTTTAGTGTGCGTTTGTTTGGGGGGATGGGGGCTGCACAAATATTTTCAGGGAGGGGGGCAATACCAAGCAAATATTCCTTGACAAGCAGAAATGGAAGGGGGCATCTATGTTGAAAAAAGGGGAGTACAGCCCCAGAAATAATTTTTAAAAATTCAACTTACCCGAAAAAAATTGTCCAAATATATACTCAGTAATCCTATTCCAAAAGTGTGTGGTGGAGGGGGGCTTTCAATAAACAATTTATATAGTTAAAAAAATGTCTGGAAAAAAAGGGGGTGGCCAACCCCCCAACCCCCACCCCTATGATATGTGCCTGTTTATTATTGAGTGTGCCTGTTTATTATTGAGCGTCGGAAATAAAGTTACTGTAGCTGTTACCGATACTGCTCTGTATCAGCCTTTAAAATACAAGAGCTCTTGAACTTATTTGATAAGAAATACATGTATGCATGTTATAAAAGGACACTTTTATTAACTACATGTAATATCGCATTACATTATGTTTTTATTATTTTAAAAGATTATATTCATTATGGTATGATTTAAGCTAGGACTTACACAAGACAAAGGTGTCTCGCCTGCATGGCGCAGTGGTTAGAGCGTCTGCTCTAGATTTGCAATTAATTGGGGTTAATTGATCCTTACGTCACAGGTTCGAATACAACTGTGGCACGTGGATACCGATCCTTCGGATGAAACCAGTTCCCTTGATGCAGCAGGTGTTTGCACGGAAAAGATCCCTCACTTCTCCATGTCCGTACGTGCCAAATATAGGACAAAATTTGCAGGGACATTAAACAACATGTACCAACAAACAAGAAAAGGGTTTTTTGAAGACCTTGTACATACGGTTAAAATTTTTGGACTTGCACAGTTTGAAAATTAAGAAACTGAGGATCTTACACACATGGCAAAACTTTAGGGACAAGATCAAGATATATATATATATACATGTACGTGTATATAGAAATTAGGGACTTACTTAAGATTAAGATATAAAAAGAAATTGAGGATCTCGTACACACGATAAAAGTTTAAGGGACTTATACATGATAAGGCTAATAAAAGAAACTGAAGACTTTATACATATATTTATAGAAACTGAGACCTTATACACATACCTAATGTTTGGGGACTTGAATAAGATAAGAACATTTATAGAGACTGAGGACCTTATACACATGTTAAAAGTTAGGGGACTTACACATGATACAGGTATTATATAGAAACTGAGGACCTAGAGACTGAGGACCTTATACACATGTTAAAAGTTAGGGGACTTACACATGATATAGGTATTTATAGAAACTGAGGACCTTATACACATGTTAAAAGTTAGGGGACTTACACATGATACAGGTATTTATAGAAACTGAGGACCTTATACACATGTTAAAAGTTAGGGGACTTACACATGATATAGGTATTTATAGAGACTGAGGACCTTATACACATGTTAAAAGTTTGGGGACTTACACATGATACAGGTATTTATAGAAACTGAGGACCTTATACACATGTTAAAAGTTTGGGGACTTACACATGACATAGGTATTTATAGAGACTGAGGACCTTATATACATGTTAAAAGTTTGGGGACTTACACATGATACAGGTATTTATAGAAACTGAGGACCTTATACACATGTTAAAAGTTTGGGGACTTACACATGATATAGGTATTTATAGAGACTGAGGACCTTATACACATGTTAAAAGTTTGGGGACTTACACATGATACAGGTATTTATAGAGACTGAGGACCTTATACACATGTTAAAAGTTTGGGGACTTACACATGATACAGGTATTTATAGAAACTGAGGACCTTATACACATGTTAAAAGTTTGGGGACTTACACATGATATACAGGTATTTATAGAAACTGAGGACCTTATATACATGTTAAAAGTTAGGGGACTTACACATGATACAGGTATTTATAGAGACTGAGGACCTTATACACATGTTAAAAGTTTGGGGACTTACACATGATACAGGTATTTATAGAAACTGAGGACCTTATACACATGTTAAAAGTTTGGGGACTTACACATGATACAGGCATTTATAGAAACTGAGGACCTTATAAACATGTTAAAAGTTTGGGGACTTACACATGATACAGGTATTTATAGAAACTGAGGACCTTATATACATGTTAAAAGTTTGGGGACTTACACATGATACAGGTATTTATAGAAACTGAGGACCTTATACACATGTTAAAAGTTTGGGGACTTACACATGATATAGGTATTTATAGAGACTGAGGACCTTATATACATGTTAAAAGTTTGGGGACTTACACATGATATACAGGTATTTATAGAGACTGAGGACCTTATACACATGTTAAAAGTTAGGGGACTTACACATGATATACAGGTATTTATAGAGACTGAGGACCTTATACACATGTTAAAAGTTTGGGGACTTACAGAAGATAATGGCATTTCTAGAAACAAAGGATGTTTGCACATGGTAAAAGTTTACAGACATAAATGTAATAAAGAGCAAGATTCACTGAAAGCTTTTTTTGGCCCTGTGAATTGTGAGAAATCAAAAGTACTCAGTTTTGGTAACCAATGCATCAGTTTATCATTTTGATACTTGGTGACTGTGTAATCTATTGAAATGGTGAAAAGAGCTAGGTTCACTTTATCCATAAAATGGCCCTCCATATATATACCAATTAACTGACCAAGTCTCAATGTCCCATTTGAATTCTCCCATATCCTGAAAATTCCTTCCTTTGCATTTTTAATATTTCAAGAAATTTGAAATCTTGTTTAACTTCCAATCTCAGGACTCTATAAAAAATCTTTGTTAAAGGAAATGAGAAATACTCCATACTTTATTTTGATGTTAAAATGGGACAGGGGGTGATTCTCAAAGAACTAGTATAAGAACAGGACTATTTATGCATCAAACCCAACTCTTTATATTCAATTCACATAAGAAAAGTACAGCAATATTTTTTTGCAAAAATTAACTAAATTGAGAAAATTTCCTTTTGCATAAAATATTTAATACTTCAAAATCATTTCCTACATACATCATGCACAGCTTCTTAAGCACTCTTCATTTATGCCAGTTTAGTCCATGTAGGTTATATGAGGCCATTCCAAGTTTTTTTCTTTGTTTAGCATCCAACCTAAATTTCAAAACATTTCTTTCCTTCCAAAAAAAAATTACAAAACAAAAGGGGAAAAAACAACATTTTACGCAAAGTTCTAGAACTCCTTTAGCATCATTTGAGAATTTTCCTCATATTATAGCTAAATTAAACTACTACTACTACTAGTTTAATGAAACAAAAAAAAAAAAAAAAAAAAAAAAAAACTTGAGCACATCACTTTCAAAAAAGAGAGATGCTGATCCCAGAAGAGTAAATTGCTTGTCAAAGATTTGTATTTGTCAATTTCATTTTGTGTTTGTTCTTGATTGCATGACCTCAAAACCAATCCATCCACAGACACTAAAAACAGAAAAAAATTGGAATGGCCTAATGATAAAACTGCTGCAAAGAATTCAATGTCCTCCATTACTGTGGCTTTAAAACACAGTGTTTATCATATTTCTCAAAGCATATCAATTGAAAGTAGAATGTTAATATAGATTTTCTCTGTTTTTTAACAAGATTATATCCTTGGTGTTTTACACTTCTCTAAGGTCCTATTACAATTTTTTAGAAAATTTTTTCCGCAATGTCTGTTGATTAAATTCATTTCTCATGATGTCCTTGGGATTTTTTTGTATCTCTTGTCACTTGCATGTAGAATCTTCCAAAGTAGATCTAGGATCAGAAATGACTTCTTCTTCCCTAAAATGATATTTTCAAAATATAATTTTCCTTGGTTGGTGGTATGGTCTGTACAAAAAAAAATAATAATAATAAAAATAGCTCTAAGAGTTAAAGCAATTTTTTTCATCTGAAATATAATCTGGCAGGAGAATGATTGTTTACTAGCCAATAAGTATATTTGTGATACATAGGTACTTTCTTTATTTGTATGGTCTGTGTACTTGAAAGCTTTGCTATATAAATTCACATCCAGTAAAATATTTTGTTGATTATGAATTTAATCTCAGCTAGCTCCTCCATCTACATTCAGAAGACATATTTGTGAAATGTTATGACTGAAATTGGTATACTGTAAATCACTTTTTATTCGCGAGAACTTTATTTTCGCGTACTTACGCGAGACAGTGTGCTCGCGAAAATTTAATTCTCGCGTATAATAGTATTCCTTAAGATTATATAGAGCAATAACCACAATTCGCGAAAATTTTGTCTCGCTAATCAAGAGTCAATGACTTTCTCGCGAAAATAAGGTGTCGCAAAAATTTAGTGATCTACAGTAGTTCAATCAATGCAAATAACTTCTGTCTGAACTATACTCTGGCCTATCCTTGAATAGAACCACCTGTTTGCATTTTAGACTGAAGCTCTACTGGTAATACTCAATATCAAGTCTTTAGAAAATTTTCCATGCATGTAGACTGGCTGGCCATGCTGGGTTTCTGCATATAATTTCAAGTTAAGAAACTTATTGCTTAAAATGGGTAATGCAGTGTGTATACAGTACCTGGAGTGACAATATGGACATCCTGATTGTCTTGACTGTCATCTATCTCCTCCTCACTCTTATTCTCAAAAACAATGCCATCAGTTTCCTTTAGTGCCTCTGAAAAAATTGCAACTTAATTGTAAAATTACAAACATTTCAACCAGAATAAAATGTGTAAGTATATGATAAACTTTTGAGCAATAATCAACAGCTTTGATCCCAGTAATTCAAACAAGAGGCCCAGGGGCAACATCGCTCACCTGAGCAAATCGGCTAGGAAAAAGCACAAATCAGATCAGGAAAAGTTTACTGAAAAGTGGGGAGGGGGGCTTGAATTAATACTACTTGACAATGCCTTCATATAAACACAGCATATGACTTTACTGTTCTTGATAAAAAGATTTTTTAAAAACATTTTCTTCCTATATATAACTTCATAATAATTTGAATTTGATTCCCCATTGTTTCCCTTCTTGCCCCAAAGGGCCATGATTTGAATAAATTTAAATCCTAAATACATGAGGATGCTTACATGTCAATATGACTAAACATAGCTTTTCTATTCTTGGGATTTATCTCTTTATTTTTCTATGTAAAACTTTGATTCACCATTGTGGCCCAACCCTATCCTTAGGCGTTATAATGGTTTGAACAAATTTAATTCTACACTACCTAAGGATGTTTCAACATAAATATCACTAATCATGGCTTTGAAGTACTTGAGAAGACGACTTTAAAAGATTTCCCTATCTAGTCCTATGTAAAACTTTGATCAGCCATTTTGGCCCTACCCTACCCCCGGGGTCATAATTTAAACAAACTTGAATCGACACTACCTGAGGATGATTTCACACGAGTTTCATCTTTCCTGGCCCCGTGGTTCTTGAAAAGAAATTTTTAAATATTTTACCTATATATTCCTATATATAACTTTGATCGGCCATTTTGGCCCCACCCTATCCCGGGGGTCATGATTTGAACAAACTTGAATCGACACTACCTGAGGATAATTTCACATGAGTTTCATCTTTCCCAGCCCAGTGGTTCTTGAGAAGAAGATTTTTAAAAAATTTTCCTATGTGAACTTAATTGGGCTACCATAAAAAAAGTTATTAGGAAAAAACAGAAAATTTGTGGACAGAAGAAGACAGACGGACAGACAGAGTGATTACTACAGGGCACCCGCAAATCCTTGCGGGCCCTAATAATTTAAGCTTTAATCTTATTAATTCTAAAGAAAGAAGATTCTTGATAGAAGCAATACCTGATGACACTTCATTCCTAACCAAGATTTTTCACTATTGGAACCTTGAGCAGATGGGACCCACATGTAGGATATCAGTAATATCAGCACCTGGCAAATCTCCTTCATTTAGAACTGGCAGATCTCAGTCCCTGGATAAAGTCACATCTCTATCATTAGAGACAGACATGCTTTCTTTCCAGGGTCAAGCTTCATCTCCATTTTTAGAAACTGGTTCACCTTTGTCACTGGGGCATGGCATATTTTCATCAATAAAACCATACATATAGGTCCATTTCTACTCTTTAGATCTGGAATGCCTTCACGACTAGGGCTTGACACAACTTCTTGAGGGCTTGGAATGCACTTTTTGCTTGACATTTCACCATCTGAAGATGCTGGCAAAATTCATACAACATGTATTAAATAAATGAATAAAAATGTTATTTA